AATGCCTCAGATTTATGACTGCACAGATGTGAGCAAGGCATTATACATATATATATATCACACGATTATATTTTTTCATTCGCAGGAGCGACCTTATACCATGTCGTGCTATGGCTGAACACGCACGAGCAGGGTAGCAGCGGTGGCCCCCCCATCGCCGTACTGGCGCGCAAGGACGTCGCCGCGCCCGCGGGCCTGCTCCACGCGATGCTGCAGCAGTCGTTGCCACGGCGACTGCTCTACACGCCATTCCCGCTGCTGCTAGGCAACACGACGGTCGACTTCAACGCGACCGTCGTCTTCGACGACGCCGACGCAACCGAAATCGAGACGCAACAACAACAACAACAACGACAACAGCAGCAACAACAACAGCAGCAGCAGCAACAGCAACAGCAGCAGCAGCAGCAGCCGCCAAAGAAGATGGTTATCGCCATCGTGACGCACGGCCGCACCGGGTCGACGTTCACGGGCGAGATTCTCAACAGCCATCCGGCCGTCTTCTACGTCGACGAGCCGCTGCACGTCTACGACGGCGCCAACCTCGTGCCGCGCGCCGCCATCGTCGGCAAGACGCGCGCCGCACCCGATGCCGCGACGGCGACCAGCATCAAGCAGCAGATTCTACGCAACGTGTTCGCGTGCGACTACGACGCGCGCTACATGGCCGAGTACGTGCGCTACAACCGCAACCAGCGCATGACGCGCAACTTTGCGCGCACGCGTGTCATCCGCGAGATGCTCGGCTGCGGCGGCACCAGCAGCAGCAGCAGCGTCGGCAGCGACGAGGCGCGACTGCTCAGCTGCCCGATAGACCGGCTGACGTCGACGCATCTGCACCGCGCCTGCACGCGCTACGCGACGCTCGCCGCGAAGATCCTGCGCGTGAGCGTCGGCGACATGAACGCCTTCGTCAACGACCATCGCGCGACGACGACGACCAAGATCGTCTACCTCGTGCGCGACCCGCGCGGCGTCGTCAACTCGCAGCTCGGCACCGGCTGGTTCACGTCGCGCGATCAGGCGCGCCAGGTGGCGCAGTCGGCGCGCGACACGTGCCGCAGCATGCTGGCGGGACTCGAGCAGTCCGACGCGCTGCCGGAGGCGAGCTTACTCGTGCTGCGCTATGAGGACATGGCGATGGCGCCGCACGTAAACACGGCGCGTCTACTCGCCTTCGCCGGCCTCAACATGACCGTGTCGGTGCGTCGGCACATCGACTCGCACACGCACGGCAAGAGCAGGAGCTACCGCCAGCACGACTGGTTCAGCGTACGGCCCAACTCGACGGCGACGGCGCTCGCCTGGAAGACGACGTTTCCGAAGACGTACAGGGAGCTGGTGGAGAGGACGCCCGACTGTGCGACGTTCATCAAGCGCATGGGTTACGACAAGCTATAGCTGCCGATCAGCGGAAATCGATTACACTTAAAAATGGGGCCACAACAAGTTATTCACAAAGACGTACAGTGAGACATTCGTCGAGCAAATGGGTTACGACAAGCTATAGGCGCCGATCAGCAGAAATTGATCACTAATCAATTACACTAAAAAATGGGGCCATAATAAGTTATTCACAAAGACGTACAGGGAGCTGGTGGCGCCAGTGTGTGACGTAAATCGAACGAATGGGTTCTAACAAGATATAGCTGGGATAATCAGAAATCAATAACCAATCAGACATTACTGAAACTTAATAGTTAGCGGGATAATCAACTATGACTATCGGGAATGAGTGGCAAGGTCTATTGACTAACAAGGGGCAGGGAACACTCCGTATTAGTAATGATAGAATGCATTATAACGACGTGAAGCTGCCAACCAGAAGATCAACGAATAATTAAGTATAGTTAATGGTTAGCAGGACGACTACGATACGATATAGCTGCACATTGTTAACGAGAATTAATGGACAGCTACAGAGTGGACTTTGCTTAGTTGTTAGATGTCACTCTGGAATTACTGGGAAATATTGGTTCATAAGGAAATGGTCAACAATGTAGTTTTTGTACACGCTTCTGATCTGGCATTAGACAGCGACGATGGGGTATACGATCAGAACAGCCTACTACTGTGGAAGAGTGCACGTATGGAGCGTGTATGCACACACACACGCGTACATAGCAGCCGAGAAGGCAGACCTAGCATTGATTATTGCTGATGGCGACCTGCCCACACCTCCAGCGTTGACATGCACAATGCATCAACATCATGCAAACTCATCTCCTGTCGCCGAGCAATTTCGACAACCCGGCTACAAGCAATATAAGAGCAGCTGGCCGATAGTTTCATAGGCCCTCGAGTCAGGCGTGTGCGCTGCCTGCATGTACCGGGGGCCTACGTACGAGGCCTATGAGCAGGGGCACGCTAACGTGCTCGTGAGAAATATGGCTCATGCCATAAACACCTTACAGTCTCGATACAATGTGTATATAGACATGTTCATGCTCGTGCGTATACCTTTTCTATACGCGGTGATATATTATGCTCTACGAGAAGGGGGGCTCCAGAAAGGTACGAGACTCGAGTTCGCTGACTGGAATCGCTGACAACGAGCGTGTAGACACACCCTAGTGGCACGCTCAAACACACGTGCTTAGCAATTCAAACGGACTACACGACGACAGATTACAGAAGCCCAGCCACGCGGGACTGCAAGACCTTCAGCCATCCAAACACAGCCTCCTTTGTAGAGGCGGCTACGTGCGTCAGTCGCAAGCACGCGTTGAAAGCATTCGACTACGTGCTAGCGAAACCGTTAGATCCACAGAGAAGCGAAACCTACGGGCAAGCGTAACCGTGATATAAGCGTAGCCAGCACAGGCGCGCGGATGCAGGGAGGATGTCCGTTAGATGAGTCATATGCACTCACCAAGAAAGCACAACCGTGATGAGGTACGACCACATAGGTCAGTTGTATGCACAGAAGCTGGCTCACCCGTGATAGAATACACAGATGCGTGCCCGTGTGATACGTGCATTGGGTCAGTCATATGCTCACAGACACACACAATCACATACACCCGTACATTGAAAACCGTTGTTGTATGCAAATGTCGAAACCTGGCTATGCCAGCAAATACGACTAGCTGACAATAATATTGAATGTGAACGTGGGCAGTCTTCACTGCAGGCTGGGTTGGATTTTGTGGTGTTAAATCTATAAAGTAATAAAAATCCACTGCTGGTGTTTGTACGTATGCACTATAAGAAATGAGGCATATTTACTATGACGTCATCCAAGATAGGTAATTGTATCACACAGGGACCTGTTCTCAAAAACATCGTAAAATAGTTATGACATTAGAACTCTAAAACGTCATAACTTTTGAAGGAGTGCCATGTAAAAATTATGACAATTTAGACTAATGATAGTCATGACAATATATGACGTTTCTGAAAATGGAGTACAGAATATTAAGAAAAAAGTGAGAGCTAGCCACATGCTAGCAAGGCCAAAATTTAGCATGACAATTGAAGTTGATAGGCAGGACACGTTGAAATACGTTTTTTGGCCCAGAGAGCAAGCGAACAAGCGAACACAATCTGTAGATCAGGTATGCATGTGTCAAGCAACTAACATGGCCCTTCTCAAACATTCCTACTCACTGGTAGTGACGAATGTCAAAACAGCATATATAACACGTTATATTAGTCAATGAGTGTACAGTGAGAAATCTTGTATCTTGTGATTTGCAGTGCCTTTTTAGTAATGGATGTGAGGGAAATATGTGAAAGTTAGGGACATCTGACAATGTAAATAAATGGTAGAGAAATGTTACAACTAAATGCACTCTTATCTGATCTGATTTTCTACGACACTACAGAGTTATATATGATACATATATGTTCAGGAGCACATGATATGATCAGGAGTGAATAATAATGTTATTCACTCCTGATATCATGTATATATATATATGTGTGTGTGTGTGTGTGTGTGTGTGTGTGTGTGTGTGTGTGTGTGTGTGTGTGTGTGTGTGTGTGTGTGTGTGTGTGTGTGTGTGTGTGTGTGTGTGGTGTGTGTGTGTGTTGTGGTGTGGTGTGTGTCGTGTGTGTGTGTGTGTGTGTGTGTGTGTGTGTGTGTGTGTGTGTGTGTGTGTGTGTGTGTGTGTGTGTGTGTGTGTGTGTGTGTGTGTGTGTGTGTGTGTGTGTGTGTGTGTGTGTATGTGTAGATGTAGAATAGATATCATTTACTCCTGATAGTATGCTACCATACAGATATTAAATTACGCACATTATTCAAGTCCTTATTAGGTGACATTTACACATATATTCCTATGGCGCTTGATTCCAAAGGCATAGGAATATTTACAAATACACGATAATGAATCATGCCTCATGAAAACAAATATAATACCATGAAGGCAAATAATCCTCTGGTTTGGAAATAAGAAGTTTTAATGGAAAGGTGAATAATTCATTAAACTATTCACCAGTGGTAAAAGCGGATTTGAAGCTTTGAAACAGAAATTGTATTACTTAATCCAATCACAGTTGGCATCTGTCAGCGACATATGGGCATTGTTCCCTTGCCCAAAATCAAAACTCCACATACATTAATTATTAGATTGTAATTATTTGTAAAGATTCAGAAACAAATACTTATAATTTTTCACAGATATTTTGGATAACCCGAATAAATAACACTGTATATAGACGGCATTACTCACACAAACACGAACATTTAGCCATACTCATAGGTGAATGATTTCAAATGTAAGACTGAAAGATCACTTTCCACCAGTCATAACTGGTATTACTATCGGTACCAATATTAAATGTAAATTTAAAGTACTTACAGTGCTGCTTATGGGCAACTATTAATGAAAATGCATAATTACCACCTTATATATCAATATCACTCCAGGGTTCGATGACAAAGCCAGATTATTCATGCCAGATCAACAACTCCTGATGTTTTCTATACTCCATCTACAAAATGTGCTTACAGTGCCATCTACTGGCAACTATTATTCAATCATAAAAAAGGCACTTACCATCTTTGATACAAGTAGACCACAAAGACTATATCGTCACGGAAACAGGCTAAGCGGTGAGCAGTCGGCATGGTGATGATAAACGCGAAGACATCATCTATGAACGTATTGAATGCCTGCAAGAACATCAAGTCAAACTGATTGTCATGCACATTCTCAGGTGCTATATAACCCTAGGTATTCACTACCACCCAAGGATAATTTTCACACTAGAAATGTTGGAACAAAAAATTTCCCGTACTTTAGGAACTGATAGTTGCCGTGCGTGTGCACTCTTGGCTCTCTCTTACTCTACCCATATAGCCTTTCGCTCTGCAATAACATGTCTGAGCTACATAGGTAGGGCACTCCAGGATACAAGAAAATTGTATTTTAGCAATTTAAAAATGTGAAAATACTTGGCATACTATACATTGGTCTACCACATCTGACTTCTTGTATGAGCTACAATAATCACACAGTATATTTAGGTAACTAACTGTTATTGCTAACAAAACTCGCAATCCGTTTTCACAATGCACCAGAGGCTTTAGTACATTACCTTATACATAAATGCCCTCCATGGCAGATGTGCAACAGACTTTAGCTATAAAAAAGAATGAAAAAGTTTTTGCACTAAAGCAATTTCAGTAATTTCTCTGGAGACTGCCAAGGGAACATCAAATATTACTAACAATCTGTAATAAATATCACAATAACTAGTAATGAATATCGATAGGATTCTACAGTTAATTATTCATAATCAATTAAAAAGTGTAACAAGGTATTAGAGGACAACACTATTTTTTCGTTATGCATTAGCGTGAGCTAAAATGTACTTTTATTATGCTACATATCACTTCTACATCAATGCTAATTAAAAATCACCCAAAATCTTATTAATTTAATAACGTGCGAATAGATTTAATGATCGCTAAAACTATTACAGCCAAACATACCTTGTAGTTGAGAAATAGCTGAGGTAGCATAAAGAGAAATCCAAATGCATAGATTCCTGCAAACAGTTATGATTAAGCTGTACTATAAAGCAATAGTATGGCAACAATTTCACTAATACATCCACTCACTATACTCACTATACTCACGGTAATAGCTGTGTTCAAATATTAACTATTATTTTATGGTTCAAAATCAGTTCCAGGTTTTGTCTTATTTTGTTCGGTTTTAATTTGTCTTTATATGAAAATCATCTTTTAAGTGACTTAAACCCTGGGGCACAATCAAATTTTTGCCATATGAATTAAATATGAATATGGTAAATGCACCTGCTTTTATCCCTCATATACATGCATATCTGTATATTTTGATCATGCTTATGTACACCTATATTTTTAAAGGACAGGCTTGACACTTGTGATTTAAAAAACACCAAACATTACTAAAAACCGTGACAGAACAAAATGTGCTACTTACCATTTACTAAACTGGTGACACACCACGAGTACCAACTAAAAAATAAAAGGTTGGAAAAAAATTACTAAAACATTTTCCATTATATTCAGTTAATATAGCATATTTATGCTACATGCTAATTTTACTGTTAAATATTTCTTCGCAATAAAGAATTTTTTTTAAATATCGGTGTTTACGATGTAGCTTGCTTCCACCGCTGACTTTTGTAGCAGTAATATGTTGAATTATCTTAGGCTAATTTCCTATCATGGTACACACACAAACCATTTACTATCCATTTTTTAACAAGAAAAATATATATCAATGCAATATATCAGTTTCCACTATTAGTTTTAGCATGCATCAAGCTGCAGTAGCGCTACGATTTTTTACATGTGCATGTAAGCAGATTCAGCACTGTCAAGTCAGATATCAATCATTGAGTATAACATATAAGCAAACATAGGTAGCCATCCCATTCTGCTGACTGGCTGATGCTGCACGAGACGTGTAGATATTATACAGCATATAATTAACCAGCACGGAATATTCGCTTACTCTGAACAAAATGTTGGCATGATTTTGATGTGTCCATCACATTACTACAAAACAAGAAAGGATTTAGATAGACCTCAGTACCTTTTGTGAGGTGTGTATAATAATGAATAGATGGCGCCGACAGCACATAGTGGATATAGTGCGTATGAAAGATATCTCATGGCCTGAGAATCGAATTCCTCGGTCAACTTCTCTTTATCATTGGCACTCCCAAGCTGAAAATTGTACACAAGACAAAATGATTACGACTCAGTAAAATGCTAAAGTGAATGATATTAGCTCAAAATATTCATTATTTATGTGATCCAATCACTACCGTCACTTTAATGGAGTGCTGAGGTAGCGTGGAGTTAGTGGGAGATGCTTATTTTAAGGAAAGATCTAAAGATACGTATCACATGCAGAATGGTGTCTAGTTCTCATCTATGCATTAACCAATACATAATGCAGTTTTGTACTTGGGTTTAAACTCTAGCTTACACATCCAAAGTACTTTCAAGTTTAATTCAATTTTTATTGCATAATGAATGAAAGACACTCATTACAAAATTGGACAGCTAATTACCATCCATAATGAAATTGTGTTGTGACTCTCACACAAGTTCTTTTTTAATTTTGCTTTACATTATTACCTTTAGTTTTGGTAAAAAGCCCGATATGGTTATGGTGACCTTCAAGGCTTTCTTCACTTTCCACAGCTGAAAATGTACCAAATCGTGCTTTCCTTTCATTTTTAGTAAGAACAGTAGGAACACATGAAAATGTATGATAAATGATGAGAATGCTAACATAAACAGTACTTGATATCGAAATGATTGATGACTACTAAGGATTGCTTCAGCATTAAGGCTCAGACACTAAATATACAACAGTGCAGAAACAAACAACGATTTGCTGTGCAAGCGGCAATGACACCCGCTGTGTTAATTCGTACACACCTCAATCACGGAACCTATACCAGCTGGAATCAGGATTAAAAGACTGGTGTCCTGGTCGCACAGGTACATAAAGACGATGGTCTGACTTATACACCTCCAAACGACTGTGGAAAATGAAAACACACACATATACACGCATGCAGACATCTGCATTCTGTTGATTCAACACACTGTGAGACAGTCCGCATTCACATTAAGACAGTAAAAAGGTTCTCAAACGCTGCCATCTCTTATCTAATTTGTCGCACGTTGAATTAATTGGGTTTGAACACTCAAAGATAATTGCTCAGAATCGTGCAGTGAAATTTTATATGTAACTCATGTTAATGTGGGTATGATTGATGAGGTTACATACTAATCATTAGCACTTGAGATTTATTATTTATTTATTAGATTGAACAATGAAAACCTAGCACTTGCACTTATGACCCTAACTCACCTGTCCTGGTAGATAGTCCCTCCATTGATTTTCTAGACTTCCAAAAGCTGATATCATTCTTGAATGCCAGGAAGTCAAATAACAGCTGCAGCATAGTAGAGATCATAATTGTCAACAAACTGCATATCATTAAAAATATACAAGACTAGAATTATCTAGTCTTGTATAGTATATATATATATATAATAGCTTGCTTACGAGTTAGAGCAATGGAAAGAGGTGGTAAATGCAGATAGTTTACACGTTTTTCTTTTTTACAAAACTAGCTTACATCTTACCCCAAGGACGGACCACGATATAATATTTAATATTTATACTGTAATATACAACCACCTTCTGTTATGCACACACAACATTGCCTTAAAGTGATTACGTCACCGTAAATAGTACAAATAAAAAAAATATTTCCACCTTTTTACAAAATACAAGTAATTCTGTTCACTTTTTATGGTTAAATTGCTGCATTATACTTCCTGTTTTACTATATTGTTTGATGTTAACATACACTCGTGACTCATACATAGCCCATAGCAAGCAATTAATGTTGAGAACATTAATAACAAATCGTCCAGGTTTTTTGGATTTTTAACTAGTTGAGAAACAATCTTATCATGTAAGAATTTGACGATACGTTTAGTCCCGATAGGTCTTACTTTTAATGTAAAAAAATGGGAATTTTTTTTTACAAATTTTACCAGAGAAATTTTGTGACGTAATCACTTTAACAATGCACTTTATATACACAATGTGGAAACGGAAATATACCTTTTTGTCTTTAGTCATTATCATCAATGAGTTAGAGCATAAATATATATTCATGCATATCAACCTTCTCATTTTCTCAAGAATATCTTACATGAAGGGCTGATACTCCAAACGTCATCATCAAGAGATAAAATCCTGTGTCAGCAAATAGTCCCTTCACTTCATCAGTGTCCTTTTCTGAGAAGCCTGTAGAATACAAACTAGTGTGTTAATTCACTTCATTAAGGATACTGTAAGGGGTGTGGGAAATTTGTTCGAAATTTTAATACCCACTTTATTTGATAGATCGCAGCCATGGGCAGCTACGTATACTATACGTATATACTATACTATACTATACGTAGAAATTATGTATGTAGCCTCCCAAACAGTTCGAAATGCCCGCATTAGTCAATTCTTAACACAGGCGTTCAATGATAGAAAATTTAGAAAAGTGCTGATATCTCGGTTGTTAAAGTAGGTAATTTGTACCACAAGCGACATGACCTCACTTACTCCAAAATGTATTCGATAATACGTACCCCACTTTTTAAATGCGAAAATATACTTAGCCTAATCTTTAGGTGTAGTAATTGGCAAGTGCAGGGTGCGAAATTAACGGGAGTCCGGAGTCAAATACTCCCTGATTTGACATATATGCAGGAGTCCGTGTGACTCCCTGAAAACTCTGCCATACTAACTATAGCTCGTTCCGGAGCACGGCCTCGTGGAATTACCGTATTTTTTCAGATAATGTCCAAAGAAAATTTGGCAGGCGTGCAACCGCATGAATCTTAAAAATAAGCACATGCGTTATTGTTAATATCTTTAATTTTGAACCTCAGACTGCAGACTCCCTCATTTTGCTGCAGACTCCCTCTTTTTGAGGGCAGGGAGTCCGTTGGACTCCCGTGTTCCAAAGTTAATTACTACCCCTGCAATTGCGATATTAGTGACAGATACACGGTCCAGTAAAACAGGGAATTTCATCAGGCTTGCCTATAATTTACCGACATTGTCCGACAGTCCAACGGTATACGCGAAAGCTGCTAGTACTAAGCAAACGCTCAATACTTACCGAGTACGTGCATGAGGCGCATAGATTCCTGGAGCTGTGACCAGAGTCTAAGTTTCCCAACAGATATCGGTGAATAACTGATGAAGAGGGGCATTGTCTTGCTACTGCTGTTCACTTCCTAAAAGTACATTGCAAACAAATGTTGTGAAATTCCAACCAGGCTTTTGCTGCATGTCGCTTATTACGTGCTGCCACCTGGTGGTAAGCTCAAGCAACTTCATTTACCTTTACAAAGACAACCAGAGACATGATACAAGATTGCGTGGCACAGCTTTGCTGTTGATCCTAAGCGCTGCACGCGAATGAGACGCACAGTTCCGCGAGACATGCGCACGCGACCGCGGGGATGTTCAAGTATGAAGCGCTGTCCGCAGTGGAGACGTGCGCCAAATTCAAGGCCCGCGCACGTCTCCACAGCGGTCAGCGGATGGTCTGTAGTTTTAGGAGATGACAATGATTATATTATATATATGGACGATATTCTAGGAATTGGAGATTATAAAACAGTAACAAAAATCGCTCAGTCATGCTCCAGATTAGCCGAATCAAAAAGATTAGAATTTAATCCAAAACAAACACAATGGTTATAAAATTCACAAACAAAAAAAGAATAGAGGAGATATTAATAGGCAACCAAGTAATCAAAAAATGCACCAAATATTCATATGGGCCTAGAAGATTTAATTAATGATATAGGAGGTTATAACGATATGATAAGAGTACGAACTGAAAAATGTAGGTTCATGATGAGGGAAATATTATCATGGGCAGAAGAGCAAAATTATGGAAATCATACTATAGAAGCAAGAGTGAAATTATACGAATGCACAGTTTTACCTTCCTTCCTAAATAACAGTGAAACATGGACTAACCTAACTATGGATCGAAGAAGTAAAAATGTTGGAGGATTTCCAAAATGAGTGCCTGCGCAAAATAATAATCACGCAGAAAACGCAGAAAAATCTACCGAAAGGCATTGCAAGACGATGAAAACTCCAAGAAAAGATACAGAAAATTCAGTAAAAATAACATGTAGTTTCTATACGTAAATCGTGGTAAATACATTAAAAACGCATTATTTTATTGAAAATCCCCATATTTACTTATAAAACATCCAAGAGATGGCGCTGTGGCATGTAAACATTGGCTCCGAATATTGGGTGTTGCTATCCCCCGGGCGTGGAGGGAGGTCACGTGATAACGTTGACGATTACGTTCAAAACGTTAACCCTAACGGTAAACCTCACTCCAACACAGTCAACACTAACCCTCACACTAAATATATGTTTCGCCGCGCTATATATAGGCATTGTGATCCACAAAAATTAATCTATGGTGTGGGGACAGATATCATGATGCAAAAACCTTAACCCTAACCCTAATCCTAATCCTAACCCTAATCCTAACACTATCCCAACACTATAGTGCTGCCACGTTGCGGTCACCTCCCTCCACGCCCGGGGGATAGCATTACCCCCGAATATTCCAACCTCTGTCGTGCAGTGCGCTGTGTTTTGCTGAATTGTTCAATGAATGACGCACTCGTTCACTTCCGACAGCGAGTGGAAATGCAGAAAATTTTCCTCTTCGATCCGAAATGCATCGGACGGGCATTTGATTATTTACGAAAAGTAAACAGGCTGGGGAAAGACAGTAGGTACAGAAACTGGTCACGTCGGTGACGCCCCATTCATGTACATCAACGAAGAAGGCGGGGCTTATTCTGATTACGGAGATCTATGCGAAAATATGCAACAGAAACACGTAACGCAGTGCGCTAAACAGCATTTTATTTTCGAATTTGTGCCAAACTCTATCGTAGAAAACCATTCTAGCCTAGCAGAATGCCCTAGTATAGTTCCTGAGATCGGCGATTTGGTGCTCTAATGGTATTATACCTAGAAATTATAATAGAGAGGTGCGGCGTAGACTGTGATTGGAAGACACAAAGTGTCAATCCTCGGCGCGCCTCGGCATCATGGCCGCATCACGTCTAGATGGGTTGTCTAAACTACTGTATACGCTGTATATTTCGCGGTCGTTTAATTTTCGCGAATGCGTCCTCGACCGCGAAAATAACAACACGCGAACAGTTCATACCGAATAATACAGAATAATTAATAATTCACTGACCGCGAAATTAACCACTCGCGAAATTGTCCGTAAATATCTGTACGCGATAAATATATGGCGTATACAGTAGTAGCTAACAGATTCAGTGGACTAACAGGTGCCTAATAGGCTAAATTAATTGGGTTATCATGAACTAAATTCACTCTTATATTATCTTAAAATCCAATATACATATTCCGAGATGTTACATTGCTCATTAGATAGAACTTGCCTTTAGATTTCTAATTCTTGTAGACACATCATCTATGTAGAGCAGTGGTAGATAATCCCCTTCTGGTGATATTCTATAACGTTACATAGATAACATACATTACAATACATATCACATATTATATAACAAAGATTCAGTGCAATTAATATCTGTGCAATCAGCTGTTCTAATCAGCTGGATATAGTGTTCTGGATTCTGTGTAGTGTTTGTATAAAACACAGTTCACACAATGTTTGTGTTGCGCTAAATTATTAAAACACATTCATTGATTGAATTCACGTTTTAAATCGCTTAAAATTCAATTTGTGAAACACTGGACAAATGGCAGGATTTTGTGTCGAAAAAAATAGGCATAACCCAACCTGATGAACCAATTCAAACAATATAATGAAGTGAACTTTTTAATCTGATACTATGACCAATAACCAGATACTGTTGTTGAACTACCTGGCAAACCTGAAGAGCTCAGGTGGAAATGCTTCTCTGCTGAAAGCAATTATGTCACTGACCACATTCAGCTTCAATACAGACTGCAAGTGACTGACTGGCACTCGTATGCTGTCTGTGATCATGCCCTGTGAAGTGAAGTATAATATCTGATTTTCTTGCTCTATATATAGCTATTAGCAGAATTACTAATCACCATAGAACGTATTATTTACACAACCTATTATATACCATACTGCTTGCCCTTTTCAAATGTGCTGAGGGTAAATAGATCACCAGTGCATAGCATACCCATTAGACTTACTATGCACTAAGAAGAGTGAGTAAGATATATATTTATAATAATGGGTCTAATTCTTGCTGGACCTATGGTCAATAGAAGATACCTTGGCTTGTGGCAAAACAATAAATTTAGAAAGCCCAGTGAACGATTTTAAGCTTTACCTCTTCGCCCATCAGGTTGTATGCCTTTGCCCGGGGAATCATATAAGTGCTGAGTTGCCCGGACTGATATACCATCCGTTGACTCAGGAATGGTTGGTCAGTTCTTGGAAGCACGCACACGTGCACAAAGAGAGTGCCATTCTTTTTGGTTGCTTCTGGGAGGGTGATGTTTACCTCACTACAAAGATTAGCATAAAAAATAACACAATATTTTGATTAGCACTTGTTTCCATACTATACGTACATACTACATATGTAGCCTTTATAAGACCCATTTCATATTTTTTAAGAAAATAAACAAGTGCCGCGGAGCGACAGCGCTCATCTCACGTCTACTGCGGTGACTCTGTGGTGGAGTGATGGGATTCTAGTAAACCCTGTTAGTCCCAAATGTGTTCACATACATGCCAAAACAGTGGAAGGCACAGGGATGGTATCAGGAACCTTCTCGAAGGAATGTTCATTGGGATCGTTAAGAAAGTTGCCACGAGATGGCGCGTACGTTTAAGTGTCTTAAGATTAAAGATGGAAGCTCCCATCGCAACGTAAGTAGCAACAACTATTGCAAGACAGAAATGAAGGTAAGGTGGCACGTGCATGCATTTACGGCTAGCGCAGCCTACAGGCTGAAATAGAGACGCTGTAACTAATTAATGCAGGCAAAACGTAGCACAGTAGCTATCACGCTCTGTGCGGGGTGAACCACATGCCAACTGGCAGTGGCAATAAGTTTGACATGTAACACAGGTCTGACAAGTGACAGAATGCCATGAAAATTATAGCGATTTCAGGGCATAAAATCCTTGGCTTCAACGCAAATTTAGCTTGTGACATTTCACTGTGACATTGTAGCCTCATACGTCCAGGCGTGTATAGATGCCTACTAGAGCCAACCCGCAGTTCAATTCTTTCTAACAGTAACCAAAATACATGTTTACCTCCTCTTGAGGGTCAAAAGGTTATCCGACACTCTACTCTTCGCATGTCAGCGGAAAGTACATTTCATTAGTCCCTTTTCAATAAGGCCATAAAAATGGTGATGATGCACCGTCTGATAAGAAAAAAATTTTCCAATCGCCTCCGTCAGACCAGTCCTCAGAAAATTGTCTAAAATCTGCCCTGTGCCTCATTAGACCTTATGAACCTGTCACCTGTTTCCAATTTCAGCAGCAGTGATGGCTTTTTCCTACCATGATGCTATACACCGACTATGCACGAGCCTAGGTCAAGCCCCGTTTAGATTATGTGCCGCAAATCTGCATTCTCCTACCTATACCTTAAGATTAAGGAGGCAATGTTTCCCTTCTTTTTACACCTCTTGACCCTTGTGGACGCTTTGAGCACCAGCTTCGACATACCAACTAGTTTTCGGATTATCCCCACGTCCGCGAGTGATGTGACCGTTACGCGAGCGG